AAAAAAAAAAAAAAAAAAGGCCAACTGTATATGGGGAATTGTGTTACTTCTGAAATTATGAAAGAAACTCTATGAACACATTCAGAACAAAAAATATTCCCTCAGTCACAGGACGATTGACATATGTCACCTTGTGCTATCATGGTAAGAAGAACACAAATTATTAGGGATTTAAAAAAATTTTAACTGCAAATTAATTTTGCCAATAGCGCTTGTATATTTACCCTGCACCTCCAAAAAGGAGAATGTAAACATTCTAACACAGATGGAACTAGGAAATACTCATCTCTTTCAAAAGACAAATTCAAACTTAGGAGAGATTTCATTCACAAGGATTACTGCAACAGGGAGAATACGTCAAACACAGACCTGAAAATGCCCAAGATGCACACAGGAAAGCATTTTCCTTTAATATGAGAAGTAAACAAGGCAGGAAAGCAGCAGCTCTGGGCAGGGGATGAGCACCCAGCCCCATGTGCAGGTACTCAGAGACTGTTTCATCCTAGGGTCAGCCTACTCTAGGGAGGGGCTCCCAAGGAAAGGTTGTTCTGAATCTCACTGTCCAAGGGTAGTTCAAAGTTCAGGGTCTGGGAGGACTGAAGCTGAACTAAAGTTTGATTAAGTCAAGTTAACCAGCATTGTTCCCATTGATCAGTGGAAACAAAAAATTTAGCCATCCTTGATAAGACAAATCATGAGAATTTTTTTGTTTTGTTTTGTTTTTTGAGACAGTATCACTCTGTCATACTTGGTAGAGTACCATGGCAAAGCCTAGCTCACAGCAACCTCAAACTCATGGGCTCAAGAAATCCTCCTGGCTCAGCATCCCCAGTAGCTGGGACTACAGGGACCTGCCATTATGCCTGGCTAATATTTCTACTTTTAGTAGACATAGACTCTCTCTCTCTCTTTTTTTAAGAGGCAGTCTTACTTTATCGCCCTGGGTAGAGTGCTATGGTATCACAGCTCACAGCAACCTCCAACTCCTGGGCTTAGGTGATTCTCTTGCCTCAGCCTCCCAAGTAGCTGGGACTACAGGCACCCACCACAACACCTGGCTATTTTTTGTTGCAGTTTGGCTGGGGCGGTGTTCGAACCCTTCACCCTTGGTATATGGGGCCGGCATCCTACCCACTGAGCCACAGGAGCCATCCTAGACTCTCATTCTTACTCAGGCTGATCTCATACTCCTGAGATCAAGGGATCCTCCCTCTATGGCCTCCCAGAGTGCTAGGATTACAGGTGTGAGCCACTGCCTAGGCACAGAGGGTGCTTATCTGGCTTTTTCCTATATAAACAAGGGGGCTCTTACCCCCTTAATGAAGGGGGGACTTAATGAAGTGCTGTAGGAAACTGTGGTTCCTTGCAGTGAGCTGTTTCTAGGAAAACAAGGGTTGGAGGAGTTGAGACATTGGTTGGAGTAGGTCTTTAATCTTTAATATCGCCTGAGTATAGAGTTGAAGTAAATTTCAACATTGTCACCACATATTACATCAAGGAAAATTCAGAAAAAAATGCATTCTGTTTGAATAATGGGACACAATGACATTTAAAATAATAATAAAGCTAACAAATTTGCCCTATCATGGACTTTAAATGGAGATAGTCCTTCAATGTTCACTTTGGCTGTGTGGTGTCTGCTCCTATCACATAAGAGAGACATCTTTAATTGTGGTAATAAGTGGCTGTTACCATTTAAAGTGAGGGGTCCATGTAACTCTTAAATTGAACATAAAATCAGAGTTAAGAATAACACTGTAATCCTAGCACTCTGGGAGGCCGAGGCTGGTGGATTGCTTGAGCTCACAAGTTTGAGACCAGTCTGAGCAAAATGGAAACCCCATCTCTACTAAAACTGAAAACCTGGCTTGGCGCCTATAGCTCCGTGGTTAGGGCATCAGCCACATGCACCCGAGCTGGTGGGTTCGAACCAGGCCTGGGCGTGCTAAACAATGACCTAAAAAAAAAGAAACCTGAGGCAAGAGGATCCCTTCAGCCCAAGAGCTGGAGGTTGCTGTGAGCTATGACAACACAGTACTCTACTCAGGGCAACAGCTTGAGACTCTGTCTCAAAAATAAATAAGTAAAGAAATAAAAGAATAACACGCTGGGGCAGTGTCTGTGGCTCAGTGGGTAGGACGCCAGCCCCATATACCGAGGGTGGGGGGTTCAAACCGGGCCTCCGCCAAACTGCAACAACAACAAAATAGCCGGGCACTGTGGTGGGTGCCTGTAGTCCCAGCTACTCGGAAGGCTGAGGCAGGTGAATCACCTAAGCCCAGGAGCTGGTGGTTGCTGTGAGCTGTGATGCCACAGCACTCTACCAGGCGACAGAGTAAAACTCTGTCTCAAAAAAAAAGAATAATAACAACATGCTGGACACGGTGGCTCATGCCTGTAATCCTAGCAATCTGGGAGGCCAAGATGGGAGGATACCTTGACCTCAGGAGTGTAAGACCAGCTTAAGCAACAGTGAGACACTCTACTATAAGTAGAAAAATTGGGTGGCGCCTGTGGCTCAGTGGGTAGGGTACCAGCCCAGATACCGAGGGTGGTCGGTTCAAACCAGGCCTCCGACAAACTGCAACAAAAAATAGCTGCGCATTGTGGCAGGTGCCTGTAGTCCCAGCTACTCGGGAGGCTGAGGCAAGAGAATCACCTAAGCCTAGGAGTTGGAGGTTGCTGTGAGCTGTGACATCATGGCACTCTACCCAGGGCGACATAGTGAGACTCTGTCTCCAAAAAAAGTAGAAAAATTAGCTAAGTGTTGTGGCAGGTGCCTATAGTCCCAGCTACTCAAGAGGCTGAGGCAGGAGGATCACTTGGACCCAAGAATTTGAGGTTGCTGTGAGCTATGCTAATGCTGCAGTACTCTAGACAATAGAGTGAGACTCTGTCTTAAAAATTAAAAAAAATAACAGTGTTCCCTTTTTATTTCCTTACTGATCATTATGTAAACCTAAAAAGAAATTCAGACACACAGGTCTGCAGTAACTATTAAAAAAGAAAAGTTGGGCAGCGCCTGTGGCTCACAAGAGTACAGGCCAGCCCATATACCAGAGGTGCAGGTTCAAAGCCAGCCCCAGCCAAAAAAAAACTGCAAAAAAAAAATTTTTTTTTAAAGTTTACTTGGGAATAGAAAACAGGGGTTGCAAACCAGAGTGCAGGCTAAGAAAGTGTTTTGGCACACACCTGAAGGTATCAGTACTAAGAGAAAGTTTTAAAGACAAAGGAAGAAATCCAGTGAACAGCTTGGAAGCAAAGCTCACCGGTCTCAGGAACTCATTGCAGGAGAAGGCCTCAGGTCATTGGTGGACACAGCTCTTGCCAGGCAATTGCAGAAGGGAAAGATACAGGTGCTAGCTCCCTTGATGTTGACATTTCTAGGAGGTGGCTCCCAGAAAGACAGAGAAACATCCCTTGGCCACTCAGCAGACAGGATGTTTAGTATCTAAAAATATACATTTCAGAACACAAAGAAAAAACTCTCACATATTTTCTAAAGTAAATGTTTTCACAAGATGGGAAAGGAGAAAAATCTCTTACTTTCAAAGAAAGGAATTTTTTTTAAAGAAGGAATTTAGCTTGTCCTTTTCATTTCTTTCTTTTTAAATTTTTGAGAGAGTGAATGGAATGCAGTGGCACCATCATAGCTCATTGAAATCTCCAAATTCCAGGCTCAAGAGAATCTCCTGATGTAGCCTCCCAGCAACTAGGACTGAAGGCTTGCACAACCACATCCAGCTAATTTTTATTTTTTGTGGGGAAAGAATCTTACCATTCTGGTACCAGAATCTTACCAGCCTAGACTGGTCTTCATCACACTTGCAAAGTTTCCTTCTAGTGTGAATTACTTAATGCCCTCTAAGTCTTTAATTCTGAGAAAATATCTTCCTACATTAATTACATGGATTACATTATCATATTAATAAGATGTCTCTCCAGCATGAAACCCCTCATGTTCAAGGTATCAATTGTCACTGAAAACCCTGCCCACATTCCTTAGATTTGAAAGGCTTTGCCGGTATGAAGATCATGGTCAGCAAGGCTTGAATGCACAGTAAAGGTCTGGCCACACCTGTTATATTTTCAAGGTTTCTTTCCAGTATGAACTCTCCGATGGTGTGCTAAGGATGAGTTTAGACTGAAAACCTTTCCACATTCATTACATTTACAAGGTTTCTCCCCAGTATGAATCCTCCGATGGTATATGAGATACGAATTTTGACTAAAGACTTTGCCACATTCATTACACTTATAAGGTTTCTCTCCAGTATGTATTCTTCGATGATTTGCAAGGTGTGAATTTTGACTGAACAGCTTGCCACATTCGTTACATTTATAAGGTTTCTCTCCAGTATGAATTACTAGATGTCTAGCAAGGTATGAATTGCGACTGAAGACCTTTCCACATTCATTACATTTGAAAGGTTTCTCTCCAGTATGAATCCTCCAGTGATTTGCTAGGGATGACTTATGACTGAAGACCTTGTCACATTCATTACATTTGTACGGTTTCTCTCCAGTGTGAATTCTCCGATGTTGTGCAAGGTGTGAAATATGATTAAAGACCTTACCGCACTCATTACATTTGTGTGGTTTCTCTCCTGTATGGATTATCAGATGTTGTACAAGGTATGAATTTCGACTAAACATTTTGCCACATTCATTACATTTGAAAGGTTTCTCTCCAGTGTGAATTGTTCGGTGTCGTGCAAGATGTGAAATTTGATGGAATACCTTTCCACATTCAGTACATTTGTAAGGTTTCTCTCCAGTGTGAATTCTCCGATGTCGTGCAAGGTGTGAAACCTGATTGAAGACCTTGCCACATTCATTACATTTGTAAGGTTTTTCTCCAGTGTGGATTCTCTGATGTTGTACAAGATGTGAAATGTTATTGAAGACCTTGCAACATTCATTACACTTGTAAGGTTTCTCTCCAGCATGGATTCTCCGATGACTCCCAAGGTTTGATTTCTTATTGAAGACCTTACCACATATATCACATTCAAATTGTTTTTCTTCCACATGTATTATTTGATGAACAGTGAAATGTAAGCCTTGATTCAAGGCCTTGTTCCACTCAATACATTTGTATTGTTTTGTCCCTATGTGTGCTTTCTCTCTTTGTGTGAATAATGAATCCATAAGATCAGTATTATAAGAAAGGTGGGGTTTGATAGAGGACCTGTGGGGTGAGGAAACTAAGGAATCATTGTTGACAGACTTCTCCATATGATTACATTCATAACTTTTCTCTTTAGCCTTCAATAGCTGCAGTTCTACCGGTTGTGACTGGATGTTCAATCCTAGCTGACTATTAATAAACTTGTTTCCTGAATCCTGCCTATCATGCTGATCTCTCTTACTAGTTAGATTTTCCTGATGGGTTGTATAGATCCCACTGGAATGTCTTTCATCGTCTCTCCACTGACACTCAAAGTTATGTATATTCTTTTGGATTTCCCTAAAGCAAAAGTCTTCAATGACATGGCTTTGGTGCCTTTCCAACATCACTGTGGGGGATATTTCTCCTGTATTACTGCTCTCTTTAGGTGGCCATTCATTTATCACACATACAGAAGAGATGCCTACAAGATATAAAGAACCATAGGTTATCCGGTGAACTACAGCTCGTAATTAAATACCTTCTATTGAAATAT